CTTGTTTCAACTAGTTTAATAAAGTGTTTTCGGATCTCGACGCGTTTTATTGGGAAGGGTAGGCAGGCCGATACCGGCAATTACGGGCGTTATAGCGGGCCCCTTAAATTAGCCGATTTCAAACCTGATTGTGCCTAACACGGTGCTTTTAGTTAGTTCAATTTTCACTTGTGTATTTTCGCATAAAAACCTCGATTTTCCCAGCGAAATGGCGGCGCATTCTTCGGCCGGTTTCCGGGAGAGACTATAATCATTAATTTATAGTCGCCTCTGCGTGACGCTCGTATGATATATACGGGTCCATCCGAAAATATGAATTGCGGTGGGGTGTTTTGAATCAGCCCGATTCTCTGAATCCGATTGTATCGTCATTCCTCCCATGAATGGTTTCCTATTATTATTTCGGAGGTATTTTTTCGTACGATTTCTGATTCGATAAATATAATGGATAGGTGTGAAGTCGGAGGTGTTTTAAAATCGATAGGGATAATTGATTTGGCATAAATAATGGTTATCGTTTCTGAAGCGAGATTCTTTTCGGATGAGTGGGTATCAATTAATCCGATTTGTGGTTCGAACACAATTTTATTATTGCCGGGGTACCTACAGGTAGATATGTCGATTTTGTATGAACAAATGCTCATTTATTTCGATTCGTAACCGAATTTTACTTGCATGATATGAGAAATCAATTCGACTATATTGACTCTTCCGTTTATAAGTGTACCTTTGAGATCAAAAAGTGAAACTCCTGTATTTTTGGCTTAATGTATGCAGATATTTTCATTCGATTCGAAAAACTCGGGCGAAGAGCAAATTTACTTTCGAAAAATCGGAATTGATCATAACTTTCGACTGCTATAAAGTTTCCGACGCTCTTCAAGACGCGAGGCCCGTCGAGAAGGCAACTCGAGAAGTTTCCGAACAAAAGTTTCGAAAACTTAAAACGTTGGGGAAGTTCATTTTAAAGTACCTGTTGAGAATCCTCTCCGGAGACGTTTTAATTGTCGCTGCTACGTGATACTCGGGCTGGAAGGTATGATTGGGACGATTTGGGAAAAAATTTCATCGAAATCGAATTACCCCAACAAATCCATCTTAACGCTTAATTTAAATTGCAGATTTTCTGTACGCAATCGAAGAAAAATCGCGAATTATTCTGCTATTCGCGTTCGCCAAGATGAATTTGTTGGACTACATACTTGGAAGTTTCACTAGAACGAACACGGATTATAATTAATGTACTCCGAGCACGCGTGCTCTTGTGCAGGTTGATGCAATGTTGCATTATACAAAACCGGGCAGAAATAGGTCAAACTGTCACTCGCTCGGAATTATAAACAATACCAGATAAATCGTTTCGAACTTTTTCGACGGGGCCCCGTTTTTGCGGAATAAAAGCCGCTATTTCGCGAATATCAACAATTCCATATTAGTAACGGTTCGATAATGCATAAAGCCTGAATACTCAATAACCGAATTTTTTCATCGTTCGATATTATGGATCCGAAGAAGACGAAAAATCGCCTTTGTTCATAATGCGTTTTTTCCAACTACCGTTCGAAACCCGCGGCCGTAATAAATACAATTTCGGCACGGGATAGAGCCCAGCATAGCTGTACTTACGCTTTTATTGCGATCGCAACGGATAACAGAGAACGGCGGAGACGAATCGAAAACGCGAATTTATACTAGCGATGCACAAATTTCGCCAGAGGACTGAAACGGTACCGGCGCATAAGCGTGCTCAAATCAATTTATCGAGACATATTTCTGCCTGAAAACGCCGAACAGACTTTCTTATCTTGTTTATAGATTTTAAATTCATATACTTCGATCACAGCAAATAAATTAACGCACTGTAGATCTTCGATTGTCAAAAAATTCAACCCGTTTTCCTCCATTCTTCGAGCAAATACCCGCCGAATTCGCGGATCGATTACCAATCGATTTCCACCGGTAAACGATTCGATGTGCCTGGCGTGTAATTTCTCGCGCGCCGCTGTAACGATATCATCGATTACATTAAATAATACAGTTAAGTCCCGTAGATATGGCGAATGCGTATGCACGATCGGCGCAACGCCACGGGGGTGCACCGGCGACTTACGGTTACGATCCGAATACGAGGCCTATCAGATCGAATCGTCCGGACTAATTTTCATACAATGTCGTATACCGATAGACATCCTCGATAGAGCGCTTTTAACTTTTAACAAGAGTCCGAACGAGAATTTCGAGCCGTTCGAATGGGTTTTTTTCGAGCGAGCCGGCGGAATGAGCGGTACCTATTAATGGGTAAATAGGTTAGCGGGATGCGCTAGGAAACGAATAGCGAGAGAGTCGAGATTTACGAGAAGAAGTCGATTCGAGTCGTTTTGCACGCGGTAATTTATCGTCGTAGAGGTTTTATTTGAACGTTAACCGCTCTATAGCGACTGTACAAATCGATTTGGCCACACATTCCTGACTCGTGAGCCTTAAAATATATCGTTATTTCGATAAACAACTTTAGGTGGAACGGGGGGTATTGTTGGGGATCAAAAGTCGCCGGAATAACATTCAATTAAACTCGACAAAGGCGCTCGTCTCTGGAAAGTTTGAATTTCGAACGGGCACTCATTAATTATTTCGACGGAGGGCCGGCCGAACGAACGGGAACAAACGAAAAAGGAAATAAACTTCTTTTGTGTTTTCCGAAATTTTCCCTATTTGTTCTCGCGTCAGGCGCTCGCTAGGTAAGCAAACACTCCGTTATTAAACCCGGACGAAGTTCGAGCCCGGCTTCGAACTTAGCTCGGGCCGAGGCCGACTTTTCTTTTCCCTGTAGACTTTCCTTCGTTTTATTCGCGGTCGAATTGCACGATTTTTAGCCGATTTTCAGACTACAATAAATAGAAGTTATAATCTTAAGTACACATCAACAGAAATAGCCGAGTCAGTCAAGGTCATATGCCTGGTGAAAAAGTAGTTCTAACGAATTATTAATCCTTTTATAATAAGATACATTATAGGTAACAAAGGACTAATAACATAATCAATCAATTAATCGAGAATTAATAAGAGATTTCCAGTTGACAACAGGTCATGTGATTAAACGTGAACGCATTTTCCTTGACTCTGATCGATTAGTGATGTAATCAGAACAGAGACATCAAGGGTAGTATTAAAGCCAAATTAGTTCAAAGGATTTAGGAATACACACTAATGCTAATTAATATTGCACAATGTTGGCTTAATCAGCCGCTTGAATAGATTGAAGTTATTTACATAATATTCTAATTAAATGTAGACAATTAGGAAATTATTGTGTAATAACCAATAATTGTATCTTTATTTAATTAAATGAGTAGGTTTTTGATAAAATTATATGGTGAATAAATAAAAGTGCATCGATTTCTTGAGGCAATTCCTTAAAATGTTGTTCCTTATAAACTTCATGTTTACGTTCTTATCGTTTTCTCGTAAATTTCTGTACAGAAGCGATCCTCTCGTTTCGCTAAAAAGGTACGGTACGCGACACTAATGGTCCTCGAAAACTTTAAACGTACGACGAAACGACCGTTGCATACACACAGTTGCAGTTAACGAATTACCGTGTTTACCTGCCAGGAATAAAATGCCGAGTCGCGGGCGAGATTCGCTCGAATTCAAAACTCGAAGGTAGCGTTGTATACAATTATGCCGGGAATTTACTACCGAACAACACAATGTTTTCTAGCTGCTGTTATTGCGTGTTATACACACACACAGTCGGAGTTCCGCGATTTCGATTTGCGTCAATTTGCTTCGGTTATTACAATGTTATTTTCTTTTGATGCGATCCTAGAATTTGCTATAATTTATTGGGTACTTAATATTTTTTTTAATTTCTTAAATGGTCACAGTTAATTGTATAACGTTAACTATACAATTAACTTAATGTTTAATAATGCATATGCAGTTATTTGCAATTGTGATGGTAAAATTAAAATCTGCTTCTGTAGGCAGGGATCTTTAAAAGTAGGTTTCCTCGGCTGTAAACTTTTACGGCGTTAATCGAAATCTTATTAGGCAAAATGAGTTTTTTTCCTACTATTTTTAAAGTCGAAAAACTGTCTTGAATAATACCCGCGACAGACGGGAGAACATCTGTTCGATCGACCGCAATTATTCGCGATAAATTTAATTGACAATTAAAAAAAAGATGCAAACCGATCAAGTTTTTACGCTCTGACCATAAACGACGATTTGCTAAATAACAGGACCGGATTAATTGCCCGTGTAATTGGCGTTTTTATTTGGAATCATTGAATATTTACGAACTAATTTGCTCTGTAAAAACGCCGATTTAGAAGAAAATTAGCCCAAAAAATCGATATACGGACGGCATTACAAAATATCTCCAGTTTTTGTCTCTAACCTCCTCTAACGCTTCTATTAGGATTGTATATCCTATAAAGCCTTCTTAAACGAATTAACTAATGAAAGTATCTTGCACAGGCGGTTTGCAAGTAACAGCGGCCCGACTTGGGCGAAAAGGCCGCCGTCTATTGTGCCGAAATTTTCGAATATCGGCCGATCCGCCGGGACAGATATCCGTCCGAGAGAGTCGTCGACCTCGGAGGCTCTTCGACTCATCACTCGTCGTCGCAGCACGTCTACCTTTTCGACTTTTCCTTCGCGGTGTGTGGGCATTTTACTAATGGGGGCGACCCACTTTAGTCATCACTTTACGGGCGATTATTAAAAAAATTAAGCCCCGCCGAATGTATCTCATTTTCGTTTCGGCGTTTATTACGAAAATAGATATAAATAAAGCGGAGCGAGAGCGCCGATGATTTGTTAATTGCCGGTTTTTTTTAACGACCGGTTATTATGCAAAGATTAGGTGGGCGTTTTTAATTTGTTACTATTTGTTTACGTCTAATCTGTGTAATGGATTGTTTGTATACAACTAGAAATTTCCCTGTAGATGCTGATGATTTTATCGATTTAATGATGTTATTCATTGTTTTCAGATCACGTGACCGAACTGGCTCACCAATCGGAGAACAAAACGTTATCGCTCTTCCTGCAAGTGTACAGAGGAATGGCCAGTTTATCCCAAGAACCGATCGAGTTTCTATACAGAGACATCCGGAATTACATAACAATAAATTCGACCGACGCCAAACCGCTAATGACGCCCGAGGACATCGAAAACAGCGTCAATTTCTTCTTCACCGAGCTCTTCCCGCTGGCGTACCACCATTCGGCCGACATCGCCGATAAGGATTTCACTCTAAACTACAAGCTCTGCCTGAAGAAATCGATGGAGAGCATATCGCCCTTCGGTGAGGTCCCCAAGCAGATCGCCCAGTCGCTGTCGAAGAGCCTCGAAACGACCAGGCTGCTGCTGCAGGCCTTCCGGATAGGCGCGGAGGTTCTCAACACCACCGATAGTCTGCTCATCGACGAGCACTCCTCCGACAACTCGGAATGCCACGGCGCCCTGCTGAAGATGATCTACTGCCCCAAGTGCTTGGGGTTGTACAAGCACGCCAAGCCGTGCAGCGGGTACTGCCTGAACGTGCTGAGGGGCTGCATAGCCAAGTACGTGGCCGAATTGGACCTGCCTTGGAACGGGTACGTGGAGGGCATCGAGAGCCTGGTGAACGCCATGAAGAAGAGCACCAACGACGCGGACATCAACGTGGACGCGGCGATCAGGAATTTGGACAACAAAATCTCCACGGGCATCATGCGGTACATGGAAAAGGGGAAGGACATCGACGTGAGGGTGAGTGCTCGTTTTTGGAATATACTATATACCAGCGGTTCCGGTAATATGAATACATTTCGCGAGCGAGCCTTCCGAGAAGACGGAGCGATTTTCTGGGGATCAGTTTACAACGATATCGCTCCGCCGGCTCTCTCTCTCGTCGCCGGTAGTTAGATGTTAACTTTAACAACCTCAGCGCCATCAAAAGTTATATCAACGGTGACTTTCGGCGGATTTAACTCGCTGTGACTAAGTTGCCGGTTGGTTGTAAATGTAGCGAGAAAATAACATCGATTGGGACTCGAATCGTGGCCAAAGTCCGGATAATTTCTTCGCTTTGCATTTGACATGAGCAGGAAGATTTAAAAGTTAATCTCAATTAAGAGTGTGGCAAGTTGCATTAAACTGAAAAATGTATGATTAAAGCTAGTTGCTTAATAAAGGTCTAGCTTGCTTCAAGACATTAAAGCATGCCGAAAATTAAAAAAAAATTAGGAGTAATAATATTTTCCCGAAAACAGAATTTTTCCCTGGATTTTTGTTATCAACCGTTTGTCGTCGTCGAAGTCACTTCCAGCGCCCACTTATCTTGCTAAACGAGAGATACAAAAGGTAGAGAAAAACCTGGCACTGCGATTTTATCGTCAATTTCAAAAGAATGTTAATACACATAACAGTCTAGTTTAAGGTTTTCCGATTAGATTATTCTAAATGACCGTGAAACGGAGTCGTTAAAACGGAGCTTTTGTTATGTCTTCGTCATCCGCAATGTTGATACGATTATATTTCGTAAATATTGCGTTCAATATACGCGAAATACGCCCGGTATGTTATGAGCAAAAGCTATAAAAGAAAGTTATTCAAAAATACGAAAAATCTTTACGGTGCTTGGGCTCGCCTGGTTTTATTTTTCCACAATTTAACTGCGTTTAGACTAAGGATTTTTTTTGAAATTATTTCAGAAAACTCTTTAAAAGCTCAGAAAAAGTATCTAAAACTTCTCTTCTCTTCTACTTCCTCCCTATTCCATTTCCCTGCTGAACATAATTCCGCAATTCTTTATTACAAAAATAATCAAACAACTCTCATTAAGCGACTAGTATCTAATATTAGCGAGTTAACAACCTTTTGTATTTAGGTAAATTACGGATAATTATTTTTGCATTTGTGAATATGAGGTGCTCCTTCTAGCTTCTAATCCACCTTAAATAATTTCTGTGGAGTTTCATTGCGGAGCTTAAGTCGGATTCGTTCGCTGCTAACATTTTAATTATCCTCGTGCTTTCGGCATAGTGGCTGTTCTAATGCACGCGCTTTAAAAGATTTTAGTCTTTGAACGATGTGTAAAGGGTCTTAAATTCAGTTAAAACTGGCGAACTTCCAGTAGTCGAAATGAATAATAAGCCGCCTACAAGTCTAGTTTGTTCCTGCGGGATTATTAGCTGTAAAAACAAGCTTGCGAATGTAATGCAAGTACCTGTAGATATGGTATGTTCACGGTAATGTAGAGATTACGTCATTACCTGAGATAATATTGAATATGTTTGTGTTTGCAATTTTGTTTTTAGGAACTTTCTGTATACATTATTGAGTAGGTACAATATTTCAACTATTACATATTTTATGTCATTTATACAGTTTAATTATAGAGAGTGACGTTGCCGCCTGATTAAATTGATTAAACTATATGCATAATTTAATATTGTTAGTTAGTCTAACATGGCGTATTGACTGTATTGATAATTTAATAAATTTCATTCACATAAATAAAATACATGGATTATAATATTCCATTTAATGCAAACAAAACGAAATGTTAATAATGCAATTTTAATTATAATTCGGTAATGTAAAACAAATTCATTATTAAATATTTCAGCAAATTTTAATCTACTTCGCAGTGCATACGGTAATAAAATAAAAGCCAGCTTATTTTATTGAACAATGTTTTAATACATATGTAGGTCATTTTAAAGGATTTTTTTTAAATATTTATTTAATACATATTTTAAAATTAATTTTTAATCGAAATTCATTTTTTCAACGAAACTCAAACATACGGGATAATAAAAAATGAAATACTGGCATTAAAAAAACTAAAACTCTCAAATAACCAATTTCGAATTATTTACCCAGCTCGAGTTAATTAATCCAAATTGTTATCACTGCATGGGAATTCGTTATTGGAAACCATAAAATTAATGTATTATTAATTTGCTCTATGCGAATATAACGCACAATTGCTCATTTATTTAGAATAGATATGTTTAAAACGAAATTTCCAAATTACCGAATTATTTCACGCGAAAGGCATCAATAAAGAAAATGCCAACTCGCTTATTAAAATCGAGCACACTATTAAATAATTACCGCTCGCCTTTGAAATCATCTATCCGCGCGTTAATGGGCCTAGTTAACTTGTATCTAATTAAATTCCGTTAATTATTTACCAGTTTCCGAATGGCACTTAAAGCTCGATACGATTCTGCGCTAGATAAATGGAAAATCAAAAAATAATTGCGGCGATTAAACGCACATAAAACAAACACGATAGGCGAACGTTTTTTTCCGAAGCTAATTGAGCTCGGTTTTTCTGAACCGTGTGAAGATGCTCGCAGAGCAGGTTGGAAACTCGATATTCGAGTTGCGTCCGAACGTAGGACGTTTTTGTAAATAAGCAGATACTCGCGGTGCGTACTGGTAGATAGAAAGGAATCTCGTTAATACTTGTAACCTATTTTCTGTTTAAAATAGACGTTATTGGAACCCGAGTGTTTTTTTTTCTGAAATGGAGACCTTATGCATTTACACTTTACTGTCGCTGTTAATAAAGCAAACACGGTTAAATACACATCGATGTGTGTGTGTGGTAAATACCGAATGTTCGAAATTAAATACTCGTCGCGATTGTTGAAAGCAAGACGATTGTGAAAAGTTAGCTGGGAAATGTTTCAAAAGCATTCCGGAGGATTGATAGAGTCGCGGAAATTCAATCGAATCGTGAGAAAATACGGTGGGTTATTTATCGAATTCGCAACTTTCTAGTAGTTTTCAAATTGCCAATGCCTGTATGTAGTTGCTACTTTTATAACTCCCGTTTTTTATCGGTTACTAGTGAAATGTGAAAATCTTGTTCAATTTTCCTGTTAGGGGAGGAATCTACTAATCCACTAATACCCCTGTTATCGAACAAATAAGCCTGGTTATTTGCTAAAAATTCAATCATATCACCAGCCTCTTCGATTACGAAAGTACCGATAAAAATATCACGTCGCAGGGCGTCTCAAAAAAACCGCCTGCGTCCTATTTATTGGCCGGATAGCCTTGAAGGAACGCGTTTTTAGCCTTTTTTCGCCGGCAGCGCCACCACGAGTGATGCGATCGTTCGGAAATTCTCGCCGTTCGAATCTGAGCAGGAATCGCTCGCGCCCCCGCCCGGCCATAAATATCGCGCTCTCCATCAGATCGGATCGCCTCAGAGCTGATAAAGCTCGAATAACCGACGAGTCCGCTTATTATACTTCTTCGTTTTGGATTTAGTCAGAGGCGACTACATCCATTCACTAATCCAGCTGAATTTAATTTAGAAAATATGTATGTCGAGAGAGATGTTTCATTGGATTTTAAAACGTATCGAATTGAGTGCACTGTGGTTAAGTCCGGTCCTGTTCGTTGGTTATTCGAATTGATTTACTTGGAATAAACCGTTAAGCGTGCTAATAATTTATTTATCGAGTTAATTAAAAAATAAAGTTTACCAGACGTGCTGTTTAATTCAACAGTTTATGTTGATTCCTTAATGAAATGGTTAACAACGAGAGTTAACCTTAACTTAATTGCGAAACGACTTGGCAAATGAAGCGAAATAGTCGAATGTCTTTACTAATTTTAAAGCGACAGAGTTCCAAGAGAAAATTAGATAATGCATTCGCGAAATGCAAATAGAACGGTTGTCTGGTATAGGCAAAGCCAACCGACAAAGCTCCGCTCGCGATGGATTTTTTACCATTCGGCTGAAACGAATAACTTTGATCAAAAAAATTTAATATTCCTATACATTGTTGGTATTCCCTTATAATTTCAGCACTAGCGTACGGACGTCGAAAACTTGCGCGGTTTTTTTGCTCGTTTCAATTCAGAACCAGTCCTATGAAATTGTATGCTCAAAAGAGCTTTGACATTCTGGAAATGTTTCAGTTACCGCTCTGTTTTAGAACTGACGAATAATGAAATATACCCCTTCAAAATCGATTAAAAACGATTTCATATAAATGTAATTTATGTATATGGGTTTGTTAAATTCTCTTATACTATAAGTACACCAAATGATTCATTCCAACAGCCTTTTCTTTATTGCTGTTACATACATTAGGGATACATTATTCTTTTGGACTATTCGAACCCACCAGCTAAATCATCCATCCAGCTATCACCCACGTACGTTTTTGTTTTGTAAGTCGAAGTTTGAAGTCCCAGTGTATATTTTAACGATAAATCACGGCCGTCAGATGCACACACACACCTATCCGAGCACGGATTTCTTATTGAAAGATAATACGAAATACGTGAGTTCAATGTACCGGGTGGTGCAGGCCGTTTAAGGTACCTAATCGGTCCGTTTGTTTTGCTATAGCGCGGAGCTCGGCAATCTCGCGAAACAATGAATCAGAACGAATCCGTCGTATTGCAATTCATCGATTGCTATACGAGCAGTCTGGAGAGCGTAAGGATTTTTTTAGAGGCGTGTATTTTTACTGTAGTACCCGCTAACGTCTCAATTACGGAGAGGAAGTATTGCATTAACGATTCAGATGTATCTGGCCCATCACTAATCCCGTCATCAGTCATGTGTTGGGTTTCTCTCGGCCGAGGGGGCCTCTTTAATAACCGAAGCGGCACTTTGCATAATGGCCTCCTCCGTCAGACAAATAAATAATAATAGCGTGTGCTTAGAGGTATCGGAGTCGAGTAGAAGATGCTAATCGCGGAACTACTTACGGAGATGGTAAAAATTTCGA